TATATTTTTTTTTATGAAAAATACTAAAATCTGTCGCAGTTACGTATTAATCAATTAATCAACATAATAATTATTGATAATTGATTAGTTTAAATTAAAATTGCTCAGGTTGCTAATCATTTGAAAAAAATATAGGTTAAGAAAGTCCTGTAACGAATAAGCTGAATTATAATAATTGTATTTATAATTTTGGATTGTTTTTAAAAAGTAAAAATAGAGAATTATTCTACAGATAGTTACTACCTCATCGGTATAAAAATTGTTTTAGAAAAATGTACTCTTTGTTATGACTTATGAGTTTTGACAGAACACTAATTGCTTTTTTCATAATATTTAGTCGAAATTACATATTCGCTAAACCAGGCTAATCCAGTTTTCTCCACACTGCTTTTTTGGCCCTTTTCCATTTTTTTACAAATTCGAAACGGGCATGAAATATTTATTCGATTTGTTCGTAGAATGAGAACTGCTCTGAGCGCACTGTAGCGCGAATTTACTTAAAACATTTCATTTCGCAGAAAAACAATTATTGAAGATGTCAGTCTAACAAGAAAGCAACAATTGACTAATGACGTCGGAAAAAACACAAAGACGTTTTTTTACTGGCGGTTAATTATGTGCTTCGGGATTAAATATAAATCCATTGACGTAGGTTGAGGTGTAACAAAACCCGCTCCACCTCCTCGGAATCCTCTCGCCAGCGTTCAATGTTCAAACGTGCGAATTTTGAACCGAATTCAAAGTACAATTTCGAGTCGCGGGGCGGATGAGCAATCGATCAGCCCCGCGTGGGAGCATCCATATTCCATACCTTTAAATCTCTATGCACAATGTTCCGGTTGTGGCAATACTCGACGGCCGACAGGATCTGCCAGAATTTCGTCCTGGCTTGGTCCTCGGTCATCCTACCGTACCTCGCGATGTAATCTGGAAAAAAGCGGTCCACGCTCGAGATGTTCTATGTTGTGCGTCGATCTCTCCCCCGCCCCGACGCTCGCAATGACGTCAGAGCGTCAAGGTTGCAGCGTGGGTGGAAGGATCAAAACTTACCGAATATTTCACCCTGGCTTGCGTATTCCGACACGAGATAGATCATATTCTTCGTTTCCATCACCTGGGGGAGAAGAACAAGAAATTAATTGCGGTACAGGTTGACTCGGATAACCTAACCCTAAACAACATATACAGAGTGAAACAAGTTTTCCGATGATAGTTAATCAATGGCCATTTTTGAAATCTTTTTTGAACTATTGTTCTTGCAGTTTCCCGGGAGACGTTCTCTTTTGCCGCGAAATCTTGTTGGTCTTTTATAAATGCATAAAATATGAGATGAAGTCGGGCGACTGTTAGATTATAGCTTAACGATTTTGTTACAGAATACGAAATTTCCCACAGGTCGGAGTGAATTAGTGAAAACCTTGAGTTCGACAAAAAGTCAATTAAGTGGATATTCTTGTTTAGTTTTGATTTGTGTATGAATTACCTACATATGACTGATGAATGAATAACATGGGGAATCCCCACACGTGATGCAAAACATTGTAGTCTTTTGTCCCTTTTTCAGAAGTTTTGAAGTAAGTCAAACGTGTGTAACGACTCAAAACCATTTGACACGTGCCTTTTTTTATTTTTGTTTATTATAATTAAAAACCTGTTAATGAGATTGGTGTAATATAATTTCAATATTTTTATTTATTAATGAGATCCAGGGAAAAATTCCACAATTTAAATTCTGTATTGACACTCCTAATATTACTTCCACTCGTGTTTTTAGCACTTTGATTTAGTTTAAATTGAATTTTTTGCGTCATATCATATTTTCGACATTGTTCGAACTCTTGAATTTTGAGATAATATAGTATTTTATAAATAAATGAATGAAACACTTATATAGACTTACAAAATGCCATTTGCGCAATATTAAATTTATAAATCCTTGTTTACACTTTGTATTATTTTAAGCTTTTGTTTTTCGATGTTAGTTATTGTTTTGTGGAAACCTCAGATTTGCGACCTTATGCAGGGCTGCCAATTATATTTCGAAATTCAATTTATTTTCAGTTAATTGACCTTTTGTAAAATAATAAGTTGTTCCACTGAAGAGTCAATTCTTTGGCATGTAAGCGTATTTATGATAGTTTCAACTCGAGATACAGGTATATTCTTTATCAGTTTTGATAAAAAGTAGTAAACACAAAACTTCGTTTTCCTTATTTTATTTATTTTTGAAAGGAACCGAAATGAAGCATTTTTCACGAATGAAAAAATGTGACTTGTGAGGAAATATAATATTTCTTAACTGGATGAAAAAATTGCTATTTTAATCGCTTCTATTCAAATGTTCGTTCATACTAAAACTTTATCGACTTCAAATTGCAGTTGAAGGTGTTTTATTCGAACAGCTTTTTATTTTAGTAGCTCCTTTATATGGCGTTCTTGATATTTCAAAACAACATTCTTATAATTTTTTTTTATAATTTTAATCATGTTTTTAAAACAAACTATTTTAATTTTAGTTATATGTTATATGTTTCCCTTAAAGAAACAATTTAATTTTTTTAAGGAAAATTTTTTCTGATTTTCCTAACTTGGGTTTGTTTTTGGAAAAAATCAATAAAACACAATGGTTGTGACACTAAATATTTGATCTCTTGTCATTATAATTTGACCTAAACACTGAAAAAGTAATTATTGAATAGGACAATCTTTAAAACTTTCGTCTTGAATTAATTGTTTTTCCAGAAATGAGATTTGTGACAGCATTACTTAAAGTTTTCAGTTTTATTTCCCACAATTTAATAATACTTTCATTGAAAATTGTTAATAAACAATTAAATTGCAAATACCAAGCTTAAAAACAGAGGTTTCAGCGTCACTCAAGTACAGCGTGTTCGCAAAAATAAGATCCTTGCCTGATTGCATCATGTGTGAGAAAAAAACAAAAGAACCTTCATCTCGGACAATTCAACATTAATATGAATCAATTTCTCAGCGCGTTTCAACTGTTCGATATTTCCCCAGCCTTCTCGATCAGAAATAGGGACTGTGGGAACGACGCCGTGCACCTCGACGGCGAATGCAGTTGCCAAGCGACGGCGTGTGACGTCAGTGCTGGCGTCAGGGCCAGCCAAGTTGAAGGTGGTGTTAACGAACTTAGGTATCTAGATTGCAGGGTTCGTTTACTCCTCACCTGGTACAGTTTGATGATGTGAGGGTGGTCCAGACGCTTCATGATGTCCACCTCGCGGTACACTTTTTGCAAATTTCCGGCGTCCAATTGACTCTTATCGATGATTTTTATAGCTACCTGAAACAAAAAAAAATACATTATCGAAGTGACCGCGATCGAATGACATCTGAATGACGTAAAGCATGGCCTACCCTAACCCAGGGTTTTGATTTGCTAGTGGTGGCGGGTATTTTTGGAACGTGATAACGCAAATTAGGTCATTGATAAAAATATAAATTTAATTACCGTTGATTTAGATTGTTTTGAAAACTTTATCAATCTGTTTATCAAGGTAATTGCTTTGTCTAGGGTACATCAGACAAAGGAATTATTTTTAAGTTAATTAAAAGATTAAACTTAACCGAATCAAGGAAATTTCAGCATTACTCATTGTGCAATCAAAGTATAGACAGTTGTGATTTGGTGCCATCGAAAATGTGACGTTATAGATCAAGGTCGGTAAAAACAATGTTTGTACTTGAGAATTCAGCTCGGAATCGAGGTTGACGCAAGGTTTCCAAGCACTCAAAATCGGAAAAAGTTCTTATCGGAAGTTTACAAGAGACAATGTTTACTTACAACACAAGGGCAGTAAGTAAATACATAAATACAACTGGTACAGTAGTGATCTTTTTATACATGACAAGGATCATAGCAATTTTCCTTCCTTATTGTGAATAAAACTGTAATTCAAGTCCTGATACTTAGGTTTATGGTGTAATGTATTCCTAAAAGTTGTTTTTGTCACAAGAGGGGGTAAAAGGCAATTTTCTCCCTTAGTGATAATGATTTGAAAATATTTTTACTGCCCCAGAAGAATGAGTTAAAAAAGTTTATTCGTTTCTCAGATGTTTCCCAGTGGATGTAATTAAGTCAATAATAATTAATTTATTAATCGTTGGATGATGTAAATATGTCTGAGAAATCATATTTTTATCGTCCTGGAGATACAATATTTGTTAAAAACAGAATCGGGATAAGAGAAAATTATTTTGTGTTTCTTTAATAATGTAAAATAGGAAGGGTAAGTTATATTTACCTACAGAGAAACAAGCAACATTTTTTCACCCCAGAATAGTTTAAGCCAAAAAAGCAAAAAAATCTATAGGAATATAAAAAGTATATGCAGATGTTCTTCTATTTATTGAGGATACTAGAAGTAGAAATATATTTATTTTAAGTGTTTATGACCCCTAAACTACTCGTATTTTATAGCTACACAACTGTCTTGAACTTGTATCATTGATGTCTAACATTGAAAAATTAATTTTTTGCTTTAAATTTTCAAAAAAATTGGCTATTAAGGTGTCATTGATTTGTATGTGGTTACCCTAGTAGGTATACGAAGTGGTACAAATAGTCAAAAAGTTGCATTTTTCAAAATGGCGGACCGACGATACTCCCAAGAACACACAAAATTGACACCCTTGTAACTAAACTTGGCCAATGAAAAATCCTGTATTTCTCATGTTCTTTTAATCGCCTGTCAGTTGGAACAAATACTTCGGAAAATGCCGGAACGTCTGAATGTTTTAAAATAAACAATTGAAAAATAAAACAATTTTGAACTAAAGGTTAAACGGTTATGCGTTTCAGATACATGTATGTTATTTTAACGGAATTTTTGCAATACAGGATGACATAACATGAATTTATTGACGTAAGTAGGTTGATGGAATCTTGGAAAAAATTAGATCCTTATGGCACCTCTGCGGAATTCCGGGAGCAATTTTCCCATTCACCGATTTTTTCAATCAAAGTCCACCGCAGAGATCCGGATTAGTTGGCCACGACAATAAATGTCAAAATTTAAATGTATTTTACAGCCAGCTAGTAAGTGACGCGCCGTATCGATTTTTGCATCGTAATTCGAAGTGAAATAAAATCGGACCTTACTTGACGTCACATTTGCGTCAAGAGCGTCGCTGGTGAAGAGGTCTAAAAAAATCGCAGTGTCGAAAAACTGCCTAATTAAGAGATGTGGCGGCTTTTTATCTGAGTTTGTTGACCACCGGGTACAATAGCGAGTGTTATTATTATTATCGTTCATCCGGCATCTAACACAAGCTCTTAACGACCTTATATAGCAGATTGACGTCATGTTTGACGCATGTCGTGCCTTCTGCAGCTGGACAATTAACCTGGTGATTTTTCTGTGCACGTGAAGAGCGAATGCAGAGATCCGGCACGTGCCTAGCAACTACCGGTAGCGTCGCGACGCCGTCGCCACTCACCTCCGTCTTGGTGATGCGATGCTTGGCCAACTTGACGACGGCGAAGTTGCCCTTGCCGATGGTCCTCTCGATGTCGTAGAAGCCGACACGGACCGCCGTCTTCCGCTCCCTTTCGGCGGCCATCGAGTTGAAGAGACGAGAATGCGACACTGAACCGGCGAAGGCGGCAGCGGCGGCTACGTCGCGACGCACATTGCATTTAAAATTATTGTTATTGCTAAATTCGATGTATTGTCATTGTTGTGCGATGAGACGGCCACGACTAGGATGGGAAAGGCTCGACCGACTGCAGGAACAGAACTGCCGTCAGCTGTTTCAAGCTGCTTGATTTTGCTCAGAACGAGTGCGCCGTGACGTACAGAGACGAAATCGAGGATTTTCCGAGCCCGGACGAGGACGAAAAGATGATAGGCCGCCGGAGGATGACGCGAATGACGCGAGTTCGGTAGATAAGAGGGTCGCATCCTGGACACGGGGGAGAGGGCTTACTTACGCCATGCTTGGAGTGGAGTTTTTTCATCCAGATTTTAAATCTGGAAACCAGCTTTATCGTCACAGAAATACTTCTGAGATCCTCCCGGCTCTTAGTAAGGGGCAAAAATTTCTATTTGGAACTGTTCACTAAAAATATAGAACCAACGCAAGCAAATTTGTTCATTACTGCACACAAAATTTATTCTTTTATTTTCTTTGGAATTCTATCCTGTCTATTCGATAAACTTTTCCAATTCTCCAAGTTCAAACCTCGTAGTTTGAAGTTTCTTTTATAATAGCAAATACACAAACCTGCGAATTTCAATATTTGGAATGTTGTGTAATAAGGTTTTTCTACACCTATTTAATTATATGACAATTATTAGCAATTTTTTCGTAAAAAATTGTAAGTAGGTATACAGGGTATTCGGTCCAAGTCGCCCCGGCTGATAACACCTAAACTTACTTCTTTTTTTCAAAAAGTAAATATTTAAGTACTAATATTAATTCTTGGCTTTCTTAATAAATGTATCAATTTTTTTAGCACATCCGGTGTTGCCGCAAATGCTACCAAATTTAGTTTTTTAAATAGACCACCAATGTTTTTTTTCCTCGAAACAATAATAATTGGCATGAAAAATACGGTAAACCACTATTTATTACATTTTGCGTAACACAATGCAATCAGAAGACATCTTAAATCTTAGAATTTTAGCTTAGCTTGATTTTTAATTTTAAAAGAAAGGTATGAATAAAAAAAATGCTTGGAAACAGTTTAATTGTTGGTTTGACAAATCTATCTAATTTGTCGGTTGATGAGCGAGTTCTCTTATGAAAACTCTAGGATTTTCTTCGACTGATAACAGAACATTCAGATTTTTATTTTCTTGTTCTTCACTAAGAACCACAAGTTTTTTAGTTTTAAGAAGCGAACCTGTTTGTCTCAGTTGTTTTTCAATTCGACTAAATATCCAACGATTTGGGTGAACTCTAATTGGGTATTTTTCTCTGTACTGTCTTTCAGCTTCCGCTTTACTAATTCGTTGTAATTATTATCATCCATTATTAAAAATCTCAGTACGATTTATTGACAAATTAGGCTTTGTCAAAATAACAATTGAACGGTATCCAAGCATATTGCTTTTTGCATGAATACCTTGACAAGTAAAATCCGCCTACGTTGCAAAATTTGCTAATAAAATTCTAAAATTTAAATTGTTTTTTGAGTGCATTATGTAAAGTAAAATGTAATAAATAGTTGTTTACCGTATTTTTCATTCCAATTATTATTGTTCTAAGAAAGCCAGGAATGAATAGTATTATTAGAAAATTTAGTTTTAGAAAAAAAAAATAAGTTTAGGTGTTATTGGCTGGGGCCACTTGGACGGAACATCCTGTATACCTACTTATAATTCAATGTGGTAAATGATGGATTCATAAAAAAATTAAAAAAAAATGTTTACTTTGTTAACGGAAAATTGAATGAAAATCACCCTTTCTTTTTATATTTTTTTTCAAAAATCTGTTTTAAACTTGAATACTTTTAATGGTTGAGGAGATGGAAACCTTCAATGAAGGTATAGAAAACTGCAAATGTCTTTTTTTAAGTTTATCAGTTTTAAATTCAGTTCAGGAAACTTTTGTTTGTGGTGACTTTTCTTTGTCATTTCATACTCGTCTTTTCGAACTTTATATCCACTTTTTCGTACTCGAAGATAGTGTTGTTTTTTTTTGATCTCAGCTGGATGGATGCACTTACATGACTTTTACCGCCCAAAAATACAATACAAGTTGAAAAAGAAAAAAACAAAAACATTTGAATTTGACTTTCAGTACGAAAATCTGTAACTTTTTTTTCTGTTAAACCTCGCCATTCTTATTTGGAATTTTGTGATGTTCAAAGTAATAATAATAATTGTAATTCTTGAACTGGTGTACTGGTAACATTAAATTTCAAATTGAAACATTATCTCCATGTGTAAATTTGAGAATATGTTGTTTTCAACACGGAATTTTGACTTACTTTCTCAATTTACTGTGAAATTTCAAGATTCTATTTTGAACTACAAAGTGCGGAAGTTTTGATTGAAACGTACTTGCTCCCAAACTTTGGGCTTACAAATGTGATAAAAAATAAATTTTCATTTTATGTATTTAAAATTATACAAAAATCGAAGTAGTTGCATATTGTAAATATCTAAAGAACTCAGGGGAAGAAGAAAAATTAAAGTTTCTTATACTTAGTAGAAATTGTATTTATTATGTTTGTTCTTATAAATGAAATGGCCAATAATACGAGTATAAGGTTTCTACTACGTAAGCATAAACAATCAAAATTAATTTAATCATCAATACTTTTATTTTGAGATTGAATAAGATATTTTTAACTAAGAGAAAAATTACCTATTTTCGCTGAAATCAACGCTCAACGCTGATTTGAATGGTTCACGCTTCTCGCTGCCCCTAGCATGATGACCTACTTATGTGATCAGGGACCACTTTCAAGAACGTTTGAGCCATTTCCGGTATCTTTCTCGTATTCTGAGCTCGAATATTCATATCTCGTTACAAACATTTGCATTAAGTACCTGTTAGTACGTAATTATAATATTCTACATGTATAGATCGAGAGGATGGGTTTATTATCGCAAAATAAATGCACGTTTTCTAATTGTTATTTAAGATAGATAATTTGTGGTTTGAGGAAAGTTATATTTTGGTCTTTTTATTTTGACGCATCTTAACTGAGGTCTTGTTCAAATTTTAATTTTATTGAAATTTCTGGCCGCTTATTGTCCATTTTCATTTTATTGCCTTCAAGTGGTAACGATTGTATTCACTTTCACTAATTACCGTTAAATTACTTATTTAATTAAAAAATCTCAAGTATTTATGTTATGAAACGGTACCGTTTTTAACAAAAATATACTTAATGATAAGTTTTTTTGCTGATTTTGCGTCAATTACGGACAATTTTAATTTGATTATCTATGAAACGAACGGACAATTTTAATTTGATTATCTATGAAACGATTTTACGTAATTTTATAAAACAGCATTGTTTTTTACTGGTTGTAAAAAAATAATAAAACTGCTATTAAAATTATCGAATTTTATTTCAATCCTCAAATTAAGGCGACAAATATGTAACTTTTTTAAATCCTATACAACAATTACTACAGTAAAAATAAATACTGTACAACCATTATTACTTAATATATTTTGTACTAATTTAACATGTCGAAATTGAGCTTCTAATTAAAATTAAATGCCGAAATTTGTGGAGTTTTTCTGAACCTACTGATATGGAATGATAAAAAACGCACACAAATTCCGATATTGTGATACAACCCCACATTACTTACAATTACTTGAATTTCCCTAATAAAAAGCGACAACAAAATTAAAATTATCCTAACAAAAGTGGGGTCACATCAAGCCTCAAAGGCACTACTCCACCCCTACAAATCTCCCATGCGTCCGAATCCTCTTATGACCGGCGCTCATGCCGTTGTGGTGCTTCTGTGGGGGTTGCATACACGGAGTCTTGTTTGTCTTCCTCAATAATGAAGACGTGGGGCTCTCAAACCACAAATCCAGCGAGTAGAGTGCTGCCAACTGTCCCAATTTCTCGCGCTCACCTCCTAAGACTCTCAATTCGGATTTGGTGCTGTCTTGGAGGAACTTAGCGACACGTTCATTGGCGCCTGTGCTGATACTAAAGCCCGGCCTTTCGTCGCCTAACCTCCTGCAACCTAAAGGGGGCTGTTTAAACAACCCTAACTGAAGGTGGAAGGGGGACAGGTTACCGGCACGGATTTCACGTGGATCGGCCTCATTGAAGGGTTGCTCCATAGATGAAGTGTTGTCCATTGTGGGGGCCCAATCTGTAAGTTCGTCATCACCATCGTGGCCTTCGCCCCCGCTCCAACTAATGCTGCTTTCACTGGTGAAGTCACAGTCGTCAATGCTTTGGGTCTCCATAGTATTGGTCTAAGGAAATTTAATTTTATTTAGGGCAAGTGTGAGGAATTGGGGCTGCTTACGTCGTCGAGGTTTGACGAATTTTGGAACATTTTCTCGATTTTGTCAACGACAGTTTGGTGCAAAGGGCGGATTCGGGTTGGGTGCCTCAAAGAGCGTCCATTTTCAACGATGTCGAATCTCTGGGGGCGCTTGCGTTTACCACATGGAGGCACCGGCGCTTCGTCAATGCTCATTCGTTTCAGCTTGCGTTTTCGTCGTAAATTTGGCCTCGCAGGCGAATTTTCATTCACTGAATCGCTCTCCAAACTGTGGTTCACCCCCAGTTTGCACCGTCTACTATACCTGATATAACTCTGTAATGCGTGTTTTAACCGCCATTCGAAACTACTTGAAGTCTTCTCAGTTCGAGTCTCTGAATTGCTACTAGAACTATCTTCAGCTTGATTATCGGGGGAATTGTTCATGTAAACTACTGTAATTACAGAATTGTTATTTGACACCTTTTTACTGGAGAACCGTTTACGTAAGTTCCCCGCAGAGCGAGTGCGACGTCTCATGCCCCATTTTCCGGGGGTTTCGTGAGCGAAAGTTATGGGACCACAACTTTCAGATTCTTCTAGAGCCACACTCAAATCCTGGGCGAGATGATCCATGACTTTAAAAAGCCTTTTGATTCGTTTATAACACGAGACTTTATCCAAGGGACAACTACATTGTCTTTGTGTTTAAAATTCACAAATTTTTACCAAAAATCTCAATGAAAGTGACGAAAGTAAACAGAAGAAACGAGTCACGAACCACACTGTCAAACTACAACGTCACAAGTGAAGCGCCTGCGTGCCAACCCATTTTTAGAGATATTTCGAAATTTCATTTTGTTATTTTTTAGTTGTTTTCTTAATTTTGAAATGTTAACATAAAATAAATAACACAAGTTGCCCAAAACAATATTCTTTCATAGATAAAGATCTACAACTACGCTTAACAAATTTTAATAAATAATTATTTTCGTCCGCGCGAACTTTCGTGAGCTTAATTTCGACCGAAAGCTCAGCCTTCTCCGCCATACTTGTTTGTTCTTGTGCTGTTGTTCCGCGTCCTCAAAGATGGCGGACAACGACATTGATTTATACGCGGACGACATTGATCAAGATTTTGCCCAGGTAAGTCCCTTAATTAAATAAAAAGGCCTCTTGTGGGGACCTTGTGCCCTATTCGATCAAATTCCGCTCTTGTTTCGGTATCATACCGACTGTAATCGCTGTAGTTGGGAGTGATTGTTGCCGGTTCTGTTGTTGGCCATTGTCGCAAAAATCAGGTGAAAATGATGTTTTTTGTGTTAGGACGACTTTGGTAGTGAAAACGTAGATCTCTACGACGATGTAATCGCCGCTCCCGCAGCCACCAATAGTACGGAAACGACGGAAACTAACCATCAGCCCGCTACTACAGCTACCACGGAAGAGACTAATGGAAACACTTATTCGACTCAAGGCAACAATATCACTCCAAATGTGGGGCGAAGGCACCAATTGTATGTCGGGAATTTGACTTGGGTGTGTATAAAAAAGTTCTTTGTTTATTTTGCATTTAAAACTTGTCTTTTAGTGGACCACTGATCAAGATATCGCAAATGCAGTTCACGACATTGGTGTCAATGACTTCCACGAAGTTAAATTTTTTGAACATAGAGCCAATGGCCAATCTAAGGGCTTCTGTGTCATTTCTTTGGGTTCTGAAACCAGCATGAGACTTTGCATGGACCACCTTCCCAAGAAGGAGATCAATGGCCAAAATCCCGTTGTCACACTCCCAACCAAACAAGCCCTCAGCAATTTCGAAAGTCAGTCCAAAACCCGACCTTCTCCTACAAATAATTCCAGTAATCGCAACCAACATCCTGGCCATGCTAACAATTCCATTCCTCCAGGTCCTCACCAAAATTACGGTGGTAGAATGCCCATGAACAATCAAATGCGAGGCCCCATGCCACCGGGCATGCCAGGTCCAGGCGTCCCACGAATGCAAGGCCCCGTTGGCTACAACGGCCCTCCGCAAATGAACCAAGGACAGCCGCCACGATTCCAAGGACAGCCGCAATGGAACGGTCCCAGACCCAATGGACCTGGCCCAAATATGGGACCGATGCGGCCTGGACCGCCTCCACAAGGTCCTCCACGTCCACCTATGGTAATCTTTCTGAGATGACTAAATCAGATGTAATTTTTTGTTTAGTTCCAGGGCCCTCCACAGGGCCAGATGCCGCCGCGCGGGATGCCCAACCAAGGCCCACCTCCGGGACCCATGCGTCCTGATTGGAGCCGCCCCCCGATGCAGCAAGGCTTCCCGCAGGGCCCACCTCATATGCAGGGCCCCAATATGGGTCCGCGAGGGCCGCCTCCGATGGGAGGTCCTCCGCCACAAGGACCACCACAGGGGCCTCCGGCACCTCACGTAAATCCTGCCTTTTTCCAGCAAGGTGGTCCTCCACCTCAGATGCAGCATCCAATGCAGGCAGGACCTATGCCTCCGCAAGGGCCACCCCAAGGCCCGCCTCATGGACCTCCACATGGTCACCCGATGGGGCCTAATAGTGTTCCACCGCACGGTCCACCTCATGGCTATGGGCCGCCTACAAGCATGCCGCAGCCGCCGTATGGGGGCCCGCCTCCGGATCACCGCAATGACATGCCTCCATTAAGTGAACAAGAATTTGAGGATATTATGGCAAGAAACCGGACGGTTTCGTCGTCAGCCATCGCCCGAGCGGTTTCGGATGCTGCCGCCGGCGAATATGCAAGCGCAATAGAGACTTTGGTTACGGCTATCTCTCTTATAAAACAATCGAAAGTCGCGAATGATGACAGGTGTAAGATTTTGATTAGCTCGTTACAGGATACTCTACGAGGTGTGGAGGATAAGAGTTACAGTTCGGGTAGAAGAGATAGGTCAAGATCAAGAGATAGAGCACACAGGAGAGGCCGTAGGGAACGGTCATCTTCGAGATATCGCGAAAGAAGCCGCGAGAGGGACAGAGATAGAGACCGAGATCGCGATAGAGATAGATATTATGCAGATAGTTACAGGGAGCGGGAACGGGATAGATCCCGGAGTAGAGGAGACCGGGAACGGGAACGCGAATACAGAGACAGAGAAGCAGATGATGCGTAAGTGGTATGCTTTATTAATTTATTCATTTATAAATTTGAATTTCTTTTACAGCTCCCGTGTGTCCCGGTCTAGGAACAAGTCGCCGCCTGACGCTGTGGATCCTTCGGGAGAGCCAACATCGAAATCCCGTTATTACGAAGACAGGTATCGCGAAAGAGAGTCGGGACGTCGTGAGAGTGAGCGTGAACGTGAAAGAGATCGTCGAGACGAATCTCATCGTTCTCGACATTAAATTTTTTTTTAGTCCGCATTCGTAATGTTGTACCATACATGTCATGCATGTACCTATTTCAAAAAAAATATTATACTTAGTGTTAGGTAAAACTAGTAAAAAACATCTGAATTTCATTATGTAATCGAAATGTTTATTTTGTTTGTAATAACTAAACCTATTGTGCTGAAGAAGAGTGAAGAAGACGCTTAATCTGGAGAAGATTGTATGTTTTAGATAAAAAAATATGGTTTAGACTGAGAATGGATTTTTATTTTTCTCTTATTTTATTAATTAACCTACTTGATCCGTTATGTAATTTGTACTGTATCACCCCTTCACTTGTTTTTTTATTTATTTTTTATTTTAAACCTCTTGTAACATTTCTTATTGTACAGTATTATCTAATTTATTTTGTTTTTTAGTTTGATGTATTTTAAAGCGAAAAGGCTGTGATTAACTCATGTCAATATTAATAATTTACCATTCAAACCGACTGTTTGGCTTGAATGGTAAAAAACGAACTTTCCAATCACTTCATGCAAATAGCTTTAAGGGTTGTGAATGTCGCCAAAATATTTTTGTATTTTTATAAGTGATAGGTTTAGATAAATCAGCTTCGTTTCATTACCCCGGAAGTTGATTTATTCAATTCCTGACCGTACTTTGAAAAAATTATTTTACTTTATATTTTTTATAATTTTGTAATTCCGCACCAAAATTGCCCGATTTTATTTCTCATTTGATTTGTAAAAATTAGATAGGCAGATAACCGACCCGTGAAAGAACAATTCTCAACTCGAATCAAAGTACAAATGTTAAGTGTAATTTATTTATACAATATAAATAATTTAACCAGTCATGGTGTTGTTTCCCGAAACGTGGTCGTTACGGCCCTGTTTTTTAATCATTCTGCCAGACATTGCAGAGGGCGCTGATCGTTTGACAACTGTCAAAAGTGTCATTTGTTGACTTGTCGAACCGCAAATTGCAAATCACGCCGAAATTTTCAAACATTAATAAAAACAATGAGTTCAATAGGCACAGGCGTGAGTATTTTTTAAAATTTAATGTTCTTTATTTAATAGCACATTTTAGTATGATTTATCGGCGTCTCAATTTTCTCCCGATGGTCGAGTTTTCCAAGTGGAGTATGCAATGAAAGCTGTGGAAAATAGCGGCACCGTTATCGGTCTGAGGGGCAAAGACGGAGTTGTCTTAGCAGCCGAGAAATTGGTCATGTCTAAATTGCATGAACCAGGCACCAATAAACGAATTTTCAACGTCGATAGACATGTTGGGATGGTACTTATAGCACCCTCTTAAAACCAAAATTTTGACTAAATGTGCCCCTTTTAGGCCTTCTCCGGCCTTATTGCCGACGCAAGACAAATCGTGGACATCGCACGCCGCGAAGCCGCCAATTACAGATCCCAGTATGGGGTCAGTATCCCCCTTAATTATCTCAACGATAGAGTCAGCATGTATATGCATGCTTACACTTTGTATAGTGCTGTCCGGCCTTATGGTTGTAGCGTGATTTTGGCGAGTTGTGGAGAAGAGGGTCCCACTATGTACACAATAGACCCCTCAGGAGTCAGTTATGTAGGTGTGCCCCATTGTAAAGTGAATTTTGTGTTAATTTGTGATTATTAGGGTTACCACGGATGCGCTATTGGCAAGGCGAAACAATCAGCAAAAACCGAAATTGAGAAATTGAAATTGTCAGGGATGACCTGTAGAGAGTTGGTTAAGGAGGCGGCAAAAATGTAAGCTTGGTTGTTATTGAGAGTGGTTGAGTTACAGTTTGTTTCAGAATTTACTTAGTACATGATGAGCTCAAAGATAAGAATTTTGAGCTAGAGTTGTCATGGATGTGTGAAGAGAGTGGTGGAAGACATGAAAAAGTGCCTGAAAATGTGTTTCTTGAGGCGGAAAAGGCTGCAAAACAAGCAATGGAGGCCGATTCTGATTCAGATACTGAAGATATGTAATTTTATTTTTTATTTTTAAGTAATAAATTTCTAAAAAAATGACATCTGCTTTTATTGTCACAATGATAAGAAGACGCATTTTTTATCGTTTTAAGTGGAATTCCCTGTTAGGAAAATGGTCTAGATATTGCAGAAAATTCTTATCAAAGGTATGAAAATGCAAGTAATGGCTGTTTTGAGGTTACTTATTTTTGGCAACCTTATCAACAAATCGTTTGAAAATGAGTAGTTTTAAAGATAAATATGTGAAGGACATGATAGTGCAACTTCTGCTGGTTTAATTACATTTATTTAGTCAATTTCTGTAAGTCAAAGTGCGCAGACACATCACTCTTTTCAGAATTCCATGCCAATCAATAATTAAGGCAATCGTGTAAAATTTTCGCCGGCCTATATATTTTTATTTCTCCTATTAAACCATCGTTCAAACATGACTAACAACGAATTGCGTCGACGAAAGGTAAGAGCTTAAACCTTCAGGCTATTAATAACTGATTTGGACTCGTGTCCTGCCGTAAAAATAATCCCAAACATAAAACGTCACGCGGAAGTTAATGAAAATTTATAATTCAATTCTCATTCGGACCCTCATGTACCGAAACAAACACAAAAATGGGTATGCTACCCCAAAATGTACGTTTGACGATTTTCCCAAAACCTAACCCCACATTTGATAGTTTCACAAATTTGTTTTTTTCAGCATAAAGACCAAAATGGGCGGCCGGCACCCAACAAAAAGCGGAAGGAAATTCAGCCGTCGAGTATACACAAGTCGTTTTTTTGCCTCATCATCAGTGGGACAGTCCTGACATTGTTTATCTGTAAGTATCCAAAATCACTTGAAACGGACAAATTACGCATTTCTAGTGCTTTATATTGACAACATTCCATGGCATTTGGGACACAGGGCTGTAGATAACCTCGCCAAAAAATTGGGGTACCATAAGCCGGTACACGCCGTTGTGATAGACGCTGGTAGCACAGGATCCAGAGTTTTAGCTTTCACGTTCCACGAATCCTACTTTGGTACTTGAAAATTAACAAAATTAGCACTGCTTTAATCGCAAATCTTGCAGGGGGCCATTTAGTCTTAGATAAGGAATTATTCAAGTACACCAAACCCGGTTTATCGTCGTTCGCCGACAACCCCAAAAAAGGAGCCGAAACCATTGCCAACTTATTAGAGGAAGCCAAAAACGAAATTCCAAAAGAATACTGGAATAAAACTCCCCTCATTCTTAAAGCTACAGCAGGCCTAAGGCTTCTCCCCCCAAAAAAAGCCGAAAATTTGCTCAACTCGGTACGAGAATTATTCAAAAAGACGCCATTTTTGACAAATGAAGACAGTGTGGAGATTATGGACGGGACAGATGAAGGGATTTTCTCCTGGTTCACTGTTAACTTCCTCCTAGGTGAAGTGACCATAAGTGGCGCCACCTAGCTGATAATTGTATTTTGCAGAGCGTTTGCATGGTAACCCTGCGAAGACCGTGGCGGCCCTCGATCTGGGAGGGGGCTCCACTCAAGTAACTTTCTCAGCCCTGACTCCTGCCAGTCTTTCACAAAAACAATACATCCATCAAGCCATCTCCCCACGAGGTTTCATCCCTGTGTACACCCACAGTTACCTAGGTTTGGGTTTAATGGCAGCTCGGAAAGAAGTGATTACATTTGATCAGTCCAATCAAATTAACGTAACTTCGGACTGCATCAATCATATTATTCAAAGCCGCAAATTTCATTACGGGGGCACCGATTACTACGTCAGTGGTCCCAAAGACAACTACCCTATTAGTAAAGCGAAAGACGCGACATACCGGGTTGGACAAGAAATCCCCGTTGTCGATTTCGCAACGTGTTCACAAATTATAATCGATTATGTTATGTCTAAAGCAACCCCACCTGAGGAGCTCCCCACAAAAATTATTTTCGCCTTCAGTTATTATTTTGATAGGGCGACAGAAGTTGGCCTAATCGATGAAGCAACAGGGGGAAGTATTGACGTTCAAGGATTTAAAACTGCCGCCGAAAAATGTAAGTCATCATAATTGACATATTCAAAGTGATTGTCTTTTGTTTTAGCATGTGCTGATCCAAACGCTGACCAACCTTTCATGTGCCTTGACCTTACATTCATTTGGGTTTTATTGGAGAAAGGATTTGGATTAAGGAGGGATACAAAGATATATGTGAGTTGTCACGTGATTTATTTTCTCAAATTATTGCCTTTTTTTTCAGTTATTCAAAAAAATTGACGGTCATGAGATCAGTTGGGCACTAGGTGCAGCTTACAATTTACTAAGAGGTTGAGTCGTTTTAATTGTAATTAAAAAGCACGATTTTCATTCACAAAATTTGACTGTGCCTTAACTGTAAATAAGTATTTAGTTGATAGGCTGTGCAATAATTTGTTTTTATCCATCAACGTTTGTAATTTTTCCAATTAATAAAATCACTTTTTGTTTTAATTGTGCAAAACATCCTTTATTTGACCGTAAATTAAGAAAGAATTATAATTATTTTTAAATGCCTTTGGGGACCTGTGGTAAACACATATTATAATACGCTGTTTTGTCCCAAAAATCCACACTTTTCCATCCACACCACCCCTTATTCTGTATCATATATAAATCCTCACTTCCTGTATAATGCGGATCAAGTATTAAAAACCTCAAATTGCCACTTTGTGAATTATAATCCACCCCCAGTATAGTATGCGCTAGAACTCCCCCTCCTGAAAAAATAAAATCAAAACCTTACCTCACCCCACCGACCACCAACCAACCAATCATAACCGGTGATCCATGATTTTCGAAGTGACTCAACAGTTCCGGTCCTTTACTCCCCATTTCCTCTCCCGAACTCACGTATAAAATTTTACAAGTCACTCCTAGGAGTGTATTTAAAATGTAATTAACTTCAGTCGAGCCGATCCACTGTTTGGACCCTATGAAACTCGATGGCTTATCACCGACATCTACTAGACACTTTTGTATATCTTTAAAAGTCGGAACTTCTTTATCGGTGAATCCCTGAAGTTTGAACCAGGATGCCAGTGTTTGCAGGGATCTGTAAGCGCAACCCCAGCCGTTGTCGTCCATTTTGTTTTGACAATAGTGATAATACGCATATCTGCCCTTAACTAACGCCACTTTGCCCCCTAAGAAACTCACTTTGAATAATTATGAAGTAAATTAGAAACTACTAACCGTTATCAGTCGGTCTGAGACCCAGATGAGGGTTGATAAGTGGTTCGTTGCCAGGGTTTTTCGTTTTAAAAGCGAAACTATTGGCACGTCTGAACATCGGTCTACTGCCGCTCAGTAAAAGCTCATTATGAAGTCTTTCTCGAACTGATACTAAAATAAGTCTTATTAACCGATTTATACTAAAAAAATAGTGGCAAAATAATTGTTTTTGTGACAATTACATAAAACATCCTCGCTGTCGCCTTTAAGGTAGATTTTTGTGACGAAGTGGCCACAGTCGTCGGGATAAAAATGATAAACTTCCGGTGGTGTAATTTTCTCATCTTCGTTTTGTAATTTATACAAAATACTGCTTTCCAAAAGCCGTAAATTTCTCACAGCACTCTCGACTAAAATCTCATAAAGATTTGCGATTTTTGTTTGACGATTTACCATTGATAAGGAGTCGATGGACACCATGATGGTCATGGTTTTGCACTGTTCTGAAACCTCAATTAATTAATTTAAGCAAAAAATGCACAAAAAGGTTGAAATTTTGTTTTGGCTTGTCAGTTGACAATGCTACCACTGTCAAATAAGCCTTCACCGTTTTAAATTAAACTATTTAAACTTACTATTAGACTAATCATGAAATTTTTACCAACAAAATATGTTTATCACAAAATGAAAAAAATCACAAGAACATGTTTTTGAAGAAATTATTATTATATGGTAATAGCACTGCGACTATAACGTAGTAAAAATCCCCAACATGTCCCCATTTTCCACTTACTCTTATCCAAGACACACAAGGGAGCATGTTCGCGGTCCATAAACCCATTCTCTTTTGTCATGGTTTTCAGCATATCCACCCCCATAACGTCGACTTCATAATTTTGCACCTTTTTCTTCCTAGCACCCCCTTCACTGGGTTCATTTGTTTCAAAAAGCTCCCCAATAGAGACATTCTGTGTTACCCCAACGACCCCATCACTGTCCGTCCCCGCTAAATAAATATTTTTACCAAATCCGAAGGTCATAACACCTGACGCTACATTTTTCCTTAAACTAGTAAAAGAATCCTTAAGCGAATTTGTGACAAGTTCGCATGTTAAAGGCACATTGGCTTTGAGTCTCAAATAGAGGAACTGTGACAAGATTTCTTGCTCAGAAATGGTGGTAAACTTTATTGTTTCCAGTTGATCGTTTATGTAAAAACTTGAGGTGATTTTATTAGTAGTTGAGTTATAATAGATAAAAACGGGATTGTCGGTGACGTAGACTTCAGCCAGACTGTTTTTAATTAATTGTTCATCAAAAATTCCACTCCCAGATTGAAGAACTCCACAAAGGTAAATTTCAGCCGGTAGAGAATTAATTAAAGCATTTGCGGATCCGTCCACAAGCTCGACTTGTAATCCCAAAACTATAAAAGTGTTTTTTGTAACGATGCCGTAGAGTTTTCCCAAAAATTCGTGACTGCAGTTTGAAAGTTTCTGAAAATAAGGTTAGGAACATATGCTAATCGATTATTTGGCTCAGGGGTCGATAAACCGGGTAAAAATAACCCACAAAGCCGTATTTTGATTATTTAATTTAAAGTAAAACTTACATCAATTATTTTTTGCGATATTTTAAGCGAAGGTGTCATGTTTTTATGCCACTTGCCAATTTAACATTATTTTTTTGACAACTATTGTAGGCAACCAGTTATACGCCAAAGGTGTCAAAATTATCTAATATGCAGGGGTGTGAACATTTTTTCTGAGAATATGATCATTTTAGATCACTTTGATTCGCAACAAGTATTTACGCGGTGATAAGGAATGAACTAAACTTAATCTCTAAACATTTTTGTTTTCAATTTAATCCATTATTTGAAGTTAGGAGGCCTCTCATTAAATACTTTAGGAGGAAACGTGATGGTAAATCCAGTTGTTGTATCACTTGTGGGTCTAGACCTCGTCATAATTCCATTTTTGATAGGAACAAAAACCTAAAATTAATAAATCCAAAAATCGAAATTTATTGAGTTTGAAATTACCGTGTTTTGGTTGACTTTTTCTGCTTTTTGAATCGAATTTTGTTGGGAAAGTTTAGGATTAGATTCGTCTGGAATTCGATAAATATTTGAATAATGTAACAAGTCATAAATCGAATTTACCTTCGAAGGTAATGCCATTTAAACTTCTCAATGTCGGTAATAAGCTTTTAACGGTCTGTCGGTAGTTACCAAACTGCCATATTTCATCATTTCCCTCGAGAAAAATATGTTCCAGTTTCTCGCATATCGTCAGGAAGGTCAAGGTGCGTCGCACATCTTTGAGACGATTCCTGAAAATTTGTACGTGCGAGTAATTTCCATGTCTACTCAAAAATTTCTAACTCTGACCTCCTCAAATCTAATACTTTTAAGTTACTCAAAAAAGCGCAGGGCATGCAGTTTTCAATCAAATTATCCGCGGCGTACAACTCCTCCAGACTCTCTAAAGCGAGCATATTATCCAGAACCTCAATTCCGCACCGATTAATTCTCAAAATTTTTAGGTTTTTCAGACCGGAGCCCAGCTCCCGAAGCGTGGCGACGACACTGCCGTCTAAGATGAGCTCCCTAAGGGCTGGGATGAATACTCCCAAGTGTTGCAAGGGAACGTCTCGGGCAATCACTCGTAGTTTCACTTGCGTTACGAGCTCTAAGTTTTCTGTTCCCGTTACTTGCACTAGAAGCGCCCGAAGATTGTGTTCCAAAGGGACGTGGATTTGGGAAGGGTCAGATGTGAGACTGTCTTCGATATCGGGGTCGATGTCTTCTTCACTGTCGTCTGATATTGGACCGTGGGGTAACATGAATAAAATGAGCTCCTTCGATACCCTGTTAAGGAGGTTTTCCTCCAAATTCGGGGCCATTGTGGCAATTTAACACCGCACTACGGGGAATAGACCGAGTTGTCAAGGAGATTGTAAATAAGGGTGGATCGATATGGGGGCTTTGAACACGATAAAAGCATTTTTGTTTCAACCGATTTTTCTTTTTATGGAAACATTGTTTTGCAACAGACTGTTGAATTTTAACTACCTATTAAATTTATGATTTCGGTACATGAATAAGTTTACTGCAAGTGGATGTGTTCAGATAAAAGTCGTTTTTGTTCGAGTACAATATATATTTATTTAAAATAATTTCTCTTATTTTAACAAGCTGATAACAAACATGCACATGACACGTAGATCGATAATAAATCTACAAGTACTGTAACAGAGAGCAAGATAACCTAGCAGCGAGCCTTGAGCCCGGAAGATGTACTCGTGTAGGCCGAAACGCCTTTACTAATTTCGTACATCTTCCGCTTAAACAACCATCTCTTAGTACAACAAGGAGCTGATATGCATCGGTATTGTCAACACAATAAGTAAAACCGAAAATAACTCTACAATACAACATTGTTGCTTATTGTTCACATACATAGCGAATTGTCTTTTTGGAAATTGTCTCAACACAGAATACTGACAATCTACGGCAGGGATTGATCTGCTATTCTCTTTCATGATTTCAGCACCAGACGTTTGTTTCCTTTGTTTTTTCGTCTCGGAATAGTCGTTCACCTGTTGAGGCAGCTAAGGCTGAGGGGCTGAGGGGAGTCGTTGGCGGGTATGTGGCCCGGTATCGATTCAAGGAGGGGGTACCATTGGGCTACGGGACATCGGGGATTGTCCAGCATTTCCAACCAATGGTCCTTGCCGATCCCTATGAAACTTGAACCTATCGCCGTGCAACCCATCAACTCATTTGAACCAATTCTAAACAAAAAATAAAATCAAAAATAATTTTTCATATTATTTTTCTAAATCTAGACTCAATATACATATATTCTACAGTTTGTAATAATTTCTAAACTCCGGAATTCTATTAAAAACTATATTCAGATATTAAATTACAATTCTAACTTTTCAACTTTAAACTTTGAATCTCTTAACGTAGAAGTGAAAAAAAAAGAGATTAAATAATATAATTCTAAGTTTATGACACAAGATTCAATTTGAAAGGCTAGAAGTAAAAAGAGTTAGAAGAATTAGAATTAGGAAATTAGCAATAAATTCCAAATCTGAAAACTCAAATCTTCTTTCAGTTTTAAAGTTGGAAATTGGTGTTTCGTTATTAGCGCTTCCGTAAAATTTAGAATTTAAGCCAAAAGTCCAAATTCGAAATTAGGATTTTTCCTTTGGGCGCTTTCGTTTGCTTCAGACAAGTTAATCTATTTAATATTTGAAGTTATATAACGAATTTTATAATAAGATAAAACGTAATAATTTTAATTTGGCAATTACCTGTCGTAGTCTATCACTTTAACAATGAGGGAAACATCCTCGATATTCTCAGCTGGGACATCAAACACCAGCGCCTCGTTATAAACCGGGTTGAGCGTATTTTTCTTCACCGACGTCTTTTTCTTCTTTATCCGTTTCCCTTGACAAAGCAAATACACTTTAACGTAGGGATCTGCAAAACGAAATTTGCTCGACCTCGAACATTGACCCTTAAATGTTCCTCTCTCTACCTGATTTTCCCGTAATATCCATTGCTTTAAGACTCCTTCCCTTAATTATAGTGATGGTCAGTCTTCCAGCCGTCGGCAGATAACAAAGCGACAACATCAGCTCGCCCAAATCGACTTTTTCCTGCAATAAAAAATCGAAACACCTCACCAAAATCAATAGGGAGAAATGCGGCGGGAGAATCCTGCACGACCTACATTCTATATAGGTCAAGGTTTCTCCCGGAGCTTCCCTAAGGATAAGCTGCAGCGGCTATTTTTATTCCTGACAAGTCTAAATTTAGATTTTTGAATTTTTCACGACTCACCTGTGGAGGGCATAAAATATTCATCGTGTACTCAATCTCTTGCTGAAGGTCTGTGGAGTCTAAGAGACCTTTGAGGACAACGTGACCAATGAGGTCGTGACGGGAGAAGCGGTCAAAGTCGTACACGGAGAACTGGAGGTATCGCTGGCGGAGCTCCTCATAAGGAACACTAAAAAAATGGTTTCCCGATTTGTGGCCATTAATAAATTTGAAGACTTTTTTTGTACAGGGGGTAGTTGTGTCAATGACCGTTAAATCCTGTTAAACATCATTCGAAGCAAAATTGAAGTCAGACAATTCTGATTTTCTGATTGTAAGAAGGTGCAAAATGAAAAAAAATTGTGTAACAAACTCGCTGCTGAGTTTCATAATGACAGAAAGTGTCTCATCTCCCAACTCCCCTTTCATGTATAGACAGCTGTACATTTCTGGCTCGAACTCATTACCACCATCGCGAATAAGACGTATCACCTGTCAGCATCCCTCCCACCCTGATTTTCCCGTGTACGCATTAAGAATTATTAATTAACTCCGATAAGAACTCAGCATTTTAGAGAAACCCATCAGTTGCTCCATTCATCGTCTCTTAATTAGCCTCGATCAAGTCTTTGAATTTGGTTGTTTTGAGGGTTGCCACTTACCTGAATATAAACGTCTCGTTAAACACCGGATTGAGGTTTTTCCGGTGGACTTTCGTCTGGAATTTCTTTTTCCGGTCGGGTAAGAGGTAAAGTTTTATGTAGGGATCGCTGCTACCCGTCGAGTCCTTAATGGGCAAATCGCGACCTTCGAACACCTGTCGAAAGAAAATGGCCGGAAATGAAGGAAAAGCAAGAAGTGGGCGTCGTTGTTTTGACATTTAAGAAAATTTCTGAAAAGATTATTGGTCCAGAAATAACACTTATTCGGTTCTATTTATTTATCCAAGTAAATGACTGCGAAAAGTCATTTCCGAGAAATAAAATTAATTTTTTACCCTCACAACAAGCCCTTCTACGTCTTTGTCGTATCGGAGTGAGAAATGTAATTTGCCACAATATTCCATTTCGGGACCCCCAGAGCTGTCGGCTGAGGATTGGCGGACTAAATCTTTTTTATACAACTCGGGCTGAAATTCAAACAATTTTAAATTAAAAAATTCTTAATGAGATTATAAATTAAAAAAGTAACGAGAGAAATAGAATGAGAGATAATAATAAATGACAAAGTTTTAAAATTATTAATTAAGAATAAAAATAAGTAGTGAAAACAAGTTCGAGGAAAATATGCGTTAAAAAATAACGTAAGAAAAAATGCTTAGAATAAAAAAACAATTAAAATAGAAATAAAAATACAGAAGAACTAACAATGCTAAGGGTAAATTATAAGAGTTTCAAAAGCCTAAATACAAGTTACATTGAATTTCCTAATTTTAATAACACAAGAATAAACCTCAATTTTCGTTTAAAAATTTCACTTACAAAGTTTTTCTTTTGGTTTTCCTTTTTTTGTCAAATGTATTTCACTATTTCTCAAAACTATTTCTCACCTACGTCGTTTTGACAATAATATATCAAATGAAATAGTTGTGAGTAATAGTGAAAAATACATTTGACAAAAGAAGAAAACCAAAAGAAAAACACTGTAGCACATTTGTACTTTAGGACATCGATTTGAATTTAAATAGGTAGAATGTGAAATGATAATAAAACAAACAACTCACAATAAGTTTAAGGAACAATACAAAAGAAGAAAATGTTATGTAATAAGTAGGTATGGTGTATAAATGAGTATTGGATATAATAATAAAAAAATTAAAGAATTCAAGAAAAAATTGAAAAAAAATTAATACTAATATTAGGAATAATAGTGTATTACAAATGAAAAATTAAATTTGAAATTCAAAGAAAATAATCGACAACTAAAACGAAAAGTGGTCTCAAAATTTGAATTATTGCAAATGCAAAAAATAAGAACATTATTTCAAATTAAAATTTAAAAAAATGACAGCTTTTAAAAAACAAGGTTTATTTAATGAGAATAACTCTCAGAGTAACTGTATTAAAGGTGTTACAAAATAGTATATTAAAGTACAAGTTGCAGAAGGTATCTCTATTCAAGCACAAATTTGAAATGAGTGCTTGAAGAACCTTCTGCAACAAGTGCTTTATACTATTTTTTCTATTTTGCTGCTTTATATCATTTTATAAATTAAAAGACGAAAATTTTAATTTTTTTTCTAGAGAATTTTGCAACGGTTGGCGACATTTATGTGGAATAATTTTACGCGGCTGTGAAAAATAAAAATAATTCTTATTTTCACATTGGAAAATGAATAGTAAAGAAAGTCCGTCACTAAAATTAAATTAACGCCAACGACTTATTAAAGCACTCAAATGACGTCATTTGGGTGCTGGAATAGACTTATTCTAAACGCAAAATAGAAAAATGTAATTATTTATAATAAACCACAAGGGTTTTTGAAACGTATATTCCGAATAAAAATAAAAACTGAAAACAATTCGAGATAAAAAATAAATAAAATAAAATTTATGGTGCAATAGAGGCAATTAACTTTTTTGGGCCTTTAGCGATAAAGACACCTCAATTGTAAAGGTTTTCAACGGCCAGCTGGTTTTTTTTTTTAGTAAAAATAGCTTTACAACTATCCTCATTTAATCCCTCATAACTAGTCGGGTAAGTCAAAATCATAAAATTCAAGCAAACGTAGATAGACTTTAAGAATACAATAATGTTATAAACAGATTTGGTAATGAAAATTGGTAATAAGTATAGTGATTAAGAGGTAAGAAAATTGAGATAAGAAATTTGAGGAAGATACCTTAATCAGTCCCACTATACTCGAGTCGCTCCTGTGTTCCAACGTGCAAATACTAAACTGGACATTTGAGGGCATTTCCAGCCTATGCGACAGCTGCCTTTGAAAGGTCTGATGTCTTGTAGGCACAATGGGCAACGTCGTTTGCCTCAAGACCTTTTTGGCGACCGAATCTTTGTGCTCCTGCACGTACTCCTGTGTCATCGGTTCCGATTGCAAATCCGGCAACGAATGACTGATCCTTATAGCCGCTTGCTGTTTGCTGATGGAAGTTTCGGCATCGGAAGGATCGCCACAGGTCTTGTCGCGGATCCATTTCCACGTGGCGGCGCATTGATAACTCACAGCCGCTAGAAGAACTAACGCCATCGCCGTCAGAAATATCACACCCAATATTTGATATGTTAGGATACCTGACCAGTCTGATTCGTCTGAAATTACAAGTTGCATTGTTCAGGGTACAATCTCGGTAATGGACGCCGAGAAACAGTAATCCGGTAAATGTCGGACTCTGTTGGAGAGTTGAGATTAATGCTGATGCTAATTGGAGGAATTCGATTAGGAATGTGACACGGAAATATGTAAAACATGAATTGAAATACTCACAACTTCTTGAAAATATAAATCATTTTCCAAAAATTGTAACTTGAAAAGCTGTGATTTATTTGAAAAGTTACGATTAATAATACATTCAGATTAATTCTTTGTGCTAAGAAATATACAAAAAATAAACAAAGGGACAAAATCCAAAGATTAAAATGTGCTTAACACTACCGTTCTTAATAACAATTCAGATTAGAAATATACTAAAATATGCTAAAAGTTCCCGGTCTTGTGAGGGTTATTAAAAAGGTACCGTTTTAAGCTCTTATATCCAGAAAACGATACGTGTTACAAAAAAAATAGTTTTTTCGGTTATATTATAAATAGTTTTCGCTAGCTAATGCCGTACTCTAAAAAAATAATAAATATTAATAATGAATTAACGTAAAAATTATTGTAAAAGTTGTTAGCATTGTGATTGGGCAGTTTGAGGTCGGCCATTATAATAATGTAAAAAACCAATCACTTTAGATTTTTGAAATCATTCAAAAATTTAATGCAATGATGTGATTGGTCCATTTGAGGTCGGCCATTATAATAACAATTAGAGCCAATCACTGTAGACTTTAAATCAGTTAATTGCTTTTGCATTCATTCATAAAGGGAATTTCAGTTTTTAATGAAAACCTTGTGTGTGCCCTTTAAGTGCTCTGCGCTCGCCATTGTGATTATTGCTGTGAGTATTGTGATGAAAAAATTTCCCCTTATGTTTCGTTATACTTGATTGGGAAATAAAACCGTCTTAAAATATATAGAAATAGAAATTTGAGTGTTTTACCTATCGTTGTGATTACAAACACAATATAAACTTCGGAAATGAAAAGTTTTTTTTTTAATCTGAACATTTTCATGTAAGAACAGAGTACAAAAAGTGAAACATAACCTCATTCTGTTTTCTACAAGCTGCAGAGGTTTAAGTACTGTACAAGTTTTAAGTGAGACAAGTGAGACAAAAAATGTAGTAATTTAAAAAATGCGATATTTGCTAGTGGGTATTTGAAAACTATTTAAGATACAAAAAAACCGAAAAGATTGTTTTGTGATAAAAATTATAAGCTTTATATAATTTTTTTGTAACATGCACAATTTTTCGAGATATAAGCGAGAAACCATAAAACGGCACATTCCCCTGCGTCTGCGTCCCACTCACGTTTAAAGTGTAAGGTTTGACCAAACTACTTTTAAAAATCAATTTAGTTTTTCTATTTAAAAATAGGAAATTAAAGAGCTGTCAAACCATTGAATTGGGGTAAAATACTCTTTAAAAAAATAATTTGTTTAATTTGTGTTACAACTAGAAATAAACATTTTTAGAATGTAAGAATGATTATAGCTTCTAATAATTACTAATTATTAAATAATCTTTAAATTAAAAGAAGCGCAAGCAAAGAAGCAAACGCAAATAACTCACTGTGTAAATAGAAAAAGGTGCATAAAAGCGCTCTTCTGCAATGTTTTAATATAACAAAAATGCAGACTATCTTTGTTATGATTTGAGAATTGAAGCTCAAATATCTGGTAATGAAAATAAGTAAACTCCGAGTTGACAGACATGGAAGAATTGTGCTTCTTCACGAAAAACATCATCAAATTTAAAATTATTCTCAAAGATATTATAATTTTAAACAAAGAAATGTGATTGTTGTACCTACCTTTTGTTTGTTGTTGTTGTTTTTTTTTTGGTTTATTATTAAATGTATTAGAATAACAAGTATGATTACAAAGCAGAACAAGTATATGTATTTTATATTTGACCCGGCGCATCCACCAAATTGTAAAATTTTCAATTTTTTAGAATTTATATTGCGCCATTTTTTTCTTCAACATATTTTTGATGTCTGTTGATTTATAAGAGAGTACTTCTGCAGTCGACTTTATATAAATATTTTTATGTTGTAAAAAGATTTATTTTTAGACATGTATAAATATAAAAACTTGAACTTATAAATTGATCCCAAACCCAAATTGGTAAAAAAATCACAAAGTAAAGAAATCGCGAGAGAAATATGCAATACATCAAAAGTTCTAAAATAAATCCGTTTCATATTTTTTATGTCGAAACAAACTGCATTTGATTCCATTGGATCAATAAAATGGGCGTAAATAACTAATTTAAATAAGTAAATGTGCAAACAGAGTTTTAATAAATTTTAATCAATCTTTTCCCAAAGCTTTAAGTTTCCTGTTTCGTGCCATTTAAAATTTTCCCCTAATAATGAAAATGTGTCTCAGGAAACGGCAACCGCGTCAACCCTTTATCGTCTCTGAAAGAATTCAGACCTGTTGCGTGATGCAAGCAAACTGTAAAGCAACAGTTGGATTACAAAGCTCTCTCTCACTTTCAAGGTTACTCGCTCCAAATTGATTTTACGTCGACCAATTAGAACACGGGAGCTTTTTGCATTCGGCTGGTAAGCTTTATGTAGTCTATACGTCTCGATAAAACCATTCGTAGGCCAATCAAAAAGCCAAACGACTGTTTTTGTGCTTGGTGCAGTAAATGACTTTTTTCACACAATCAATGCGAATCAACACGGTCTTTGTGACGGTTTTATTTATCCTTTGCTTATATTATTATTTTCGTTGAGCAATTTTCCGGTCGAAAAATTTCGCTCCAATAATTATAGCTCAGTGGTTTTTATATCATAGCAAAAAATGCGAGACGCACCTGCGATAATTAGACGAAAGTTTTACCCTTGGAGAAGTTTTGAAGTAATGTGTTAAAGAGATGGCTGCTCAGGACAGCGAGAAATTTCTAATCAACTTTTCAAGGGGAAGAAACATTTCAATCATTTCAAAAGCAAAGCCATTTACTTAAATTTTAGTCCAGTCTCGAACTTTACCACAATGAAGACTCCCACACACTAAAAGTTCCTTTGACACAACCACTTTGTTCTCGCTCAAAATGCTAATTACTCACTCTATGAATTATAATATCTGATGCAACAACCGAGAAATTTGAATTAATCGAAATTGTGTAGGTTTTCTCAAAGAATTTTATTTTTCATTGTGAAAAAATTCTCGCAGAGGTAAATTTGGAGGTTGTCTGTATGTGACAAGCTATTATAAGACGTCACAAGTGTGCTGCGTGATACAAACACGCGACTTTATTTCGATAAACGTACAGAAAACACGTTTTTCAGAAGGTTAGTCTTTCTGATTGCTCGAAGCCAGCCGAGGTTTTAAGAGAAAAAGCCCCCCAACCCAAACTTGTCGTTTTATTTAAGAAATCTCAAAACTTGAATTAAAGATCTTCCAAAGCGCGGTTATATCAATAACAATTCGATTAAAAGTCTTGTTGAAACAAGATGTTGAGCGGAAAGTGAAGCCTTTTGCCGGTTAACCAGATTGTTCCGGTTCTCTCTCTCTGTTATTAGTTTTATTAGAGAATTTCGACGAGATTTTATGTCCTATTAAGTCGTGCTCCCAGCAAAGGGAGCCTTTATTACATTTTGATACTTGGATAGGTCAAGGCACAGCCTTTACAACGCCACCAATCAATTTAATGAAATAAAAGAAACACTGAAACTTTAATGTTTGAGCTTGGATCATGTATTTATCACACTGATTTTTTCTGTGAAACGCACTAACCTGTTTCACTACCGGTGTCCGAATAGTTGACTTCTTCACTAGGAAGGACGGGCGTAATGGCAGCAGCAGCCCTCACAAGTCCCATGGTCGGCACCAGAATGTTGACTGAAGTAGCGTCGAGACGCCTCGCCTGAAAGTTGGCGCGTAGCGACGCACGCATCGGGACGTCAGCGACGACCTAGCCACGGATTGGCCAGGTTCAATGTCGCCGAGGCTGGGTTAAGGCCAGTCGGCGAAAGGTAGAGCAGGGAAGCGCCAAAACGGCAAGATTTTTCCGGAACTAAATCTCCAAAAAGTTAGTTTCCAGAGAATTCTGATAAAGCAAACAGGAAATGCAAGCAACCAAATCAGGAAAACCAAGCACCTTTAAATGCGAGCACATTTCTGAATTTATCTTCAAGATCTTGGAATTAAAAACTTCTGTTTACAAATTTTGTGTTTTATCCAAATTTATTCTTCATTTCCAACTTTTCAAATTATAATTTTTTTGCCTGAAGGTGCAAGAAAAATCAACCAACAACTGAAACGTGTATTTAACAGAAATTAGACAAATTAACTTGATTTTTCGTTATAAAGGAAAGCTACGAGTATAATAATAAACGAAATTTTAGGTAACAAAATGCAATTTTTTCTTTAAAGACAAAGACAAACAACAACATTAGAAAATAAGAAAACAAAGAATATCTTTTGCGTTTTATTCAACACAAGTAACATTTATACAAATGAGTAAGTAATATGTTAATTGTCCTAGTCTAGTTAAAATAAGTCGTATCGGTATAAGCCTTAAAATTATCAAGAATTGCACTGTTGTCACCACGTCGGACGCTCAATCTATGGCAATGGTGTTTTCTTCCGGTCGCCCGGAATCTCCGAGGGTCCCCAATTAGCATGCATTGCACTTGACTAAACCGACTTCATCACAGTTCATACACTTGAGAGCCACAAATTCGGTCGTAAAGTGATTTCGATGGACTGATTTCTTACTACCGTTGCAAACCTGGCAAGGTAGGAGTCTGTATCCACCGCAAACTTTGCAGGTCGTACATGCGTCCATACTCTGGAATTATTAAAAGATCGATTATTTGAGGAGTTTTGATACCGTTAAGCGATTAGATCGCCCGGAGGAACTCACCTTGAAAGGTTTTAATATTCTCCTCAGCTCCCCGGATTCGTTTAATCTCTCTATTGTCTCGGCGTCCTGAAACAAGATCGGATATTAGAACGAACTGAGATGTTTACAAGAGAGACTTTACATTACTTGTGCAAAAACAAGTTTTTTTTTCTCCAAAAACTATAAATAATGCAAACGTGATTTTTCCGGTGGCCTCTTTGCCTACTTCGCGCTGTCTCTTGCTTTATTTCGGTGAGAAAGATGGATGCAACACTGAGATGAAAGCTAGTGCAATGCATCCAACCAATTAAAGAAATTTGCATATTGCTCATATTGAAATACGTCTGGAATAGACATTCCATCTTGCCAGACGTGGATTGATAATAACTTTCCAAATTTGGTTAAATTTCGAAAAACCCTTTTACTTTTCATCTAATTGCACGCCATGTGTACGTCATCTGGTACCAAAACGACCAGTTCTACCGGTATAGAGACACATTAGGTTAGTGTTACGGTAATTACACAAACAGGATGCCGTTCGTATTCCATATTATGCAAAAATCTGGTCGATGTATACAGTTATTAATCGTGCCATCTGCATAATTACCAGAAATCGACTTGAACGTTTTTTGATTTGTGTTTCGGTCTATTTATCAGCGATGTATTTACTAATTCGATTGCACTGAAGCTTAATTAAATATTGGAAGACCAGGGCAATAGCCGGTCGGACGACTCTAATTGAAAAACATTGGATAAAAGAGATGGACTGGCGCGAGCAGGACGTTAACTCTTTCAATTGATTATTGTACAGTGGCTCGAAAAGTGTACACATGATGATTTCAAAAGCTTTATGTAAAATCGTTCAAGAATTTCGAATTCAGCTTCATACTTAATCTATTAAAGTAGTCTTATATAGTCATTTTAAAATTGATAAAACTCTGTATACAAAAAAACATTTTTAAGTAATCTACTAGAAGCAAAAACAGAAAGTAAAGAAAAATGTAAATGTAATAATTACTTATTCCCACATAACTGGAATAACAAAATCCCTTCAAAGAATTTTTAGACCATTTTATTGTTTTTTTTTGTGCTATATCTAGACTCTATATTTAGAAGTCATGTTCCTCAAGTATTTTCAATTTTGTGTATTCTGAAAGTTTAAAAAGAAAAAATTGAAGTCATTTTACTCGAATGGCACTACCAAATAAAGCAATCTCACGTTTATTGAAAATTTTTGAGACATTTTCCGCTTTAGTCAACTCTGTTTAGTTAAAAAAAACACTGTTTAAACAACTATTATAACTATAAATATTTATCTGTTGCTGCTTCAACAAGATTTGCCCATACTAATAAAACTCGAAAAATACTACTCGTAGATAATACAAAAACTTCTCCTGATAGCTCTACAGGTGTCCGAAAAAAACCTTGAAAAATTCCGGTGAGTAGTTCCCTAGGTCAAAATAAGAACAAAAAGTTCCTGTAAACCGTTGTCCAGAAATGTTTGCTGAATGTTGAAGGAGTTAGAGCCCCCTGAAGAAGGCGGGCAAAAGGTATTTTTTTCTCAATTATCTCAGACATACATTTTAAAAAGTTTGCATCTGGAGTTTTGGCGCTGAATCAATTGGTGATATCAAAAATTGTGTATCCTAATTAACGGGGCTCTAAACCGGGGTCAATCTAGTTAAGGGATAATATTTTGCTTTGGAAGAAATTTTTTAAATTTTTTGGCAAATTTATTAGATAATTTTCTTCAAAAAATGTGTTATTTTTGTACAACCGTTTTCTACATTGTTTTCGAGAAAAACAAGGTTAAACCTTGCACCCACCTTAATTCCGAAAAGCAATCCACGCATTGAGATTTTACATGTATAGTCTAAGAGCATCCGATCGCCAGACTTTCATCATTTTATAACAGTTGAAAATTTGTCAGAGCATACTACCAACACAGACAGGAACGATGGGTAAGTATGAAGTTTGGGCCACATCTTCCAATAGTTACCCAAGTAACATGTATAAAATTCAGCTTTTAAACTATAATGTAAGTACAGTGATGGACAGTGAATTTCGTCCACCCAATTCCCATGACAGATTAAAAGTGTAAATGATTCTCTAGGTTTTTCTAACCTTGTTTCAGAATTTTGATTAACGTTTGTCATGTTGAGAGAATGATCGATGCTCCTTGCTAATTTTTACATTTGTCTTACATTGTTTGAGGTATTGTCGTACCAAATCAGTTAAAATTTATTAAAGTTTAAGGGTGTCTGACAAAGAGTTGCTACAAAATTAAGTGTCTGGCAATAGGTGAGGTGATATTATTCCGAAGAAATAATAAAAAAATACGCTTTCTTATTTGATAAATTTAAGTTGGTATTTTTTATTTCTTTGCTACCTATTATCTCCTAAAGTCACGATGACCCAAACTTCATACTTGCCCATCGTTCCTACCTGTGTTGGAAGTATGCGCTGACAAATTTTCAACTTTTATAAAAATGACGAAGGTCTGGCGACCGCAGGCTCTTGCTCTATAAGGTAGAGTTAGTTATTGCTCTAGCTCCCTTAGGAAGCATTTCCACATGACCTAAGGAACCACCCAACAAAATCATACAACGTTTTACCGAACAGCTTGTATTTGTACGGAGTGCAAAGAAAGTATGGAACCAAGTAATTGCTGGTTAAAACTATACTGCATATCTGAGAAAAAA